TGTTTCGGTGTCACTTCTATTGCTTGAATCTTCATTAAGATCTACCTTAGACATAAATTTTGCCTTTTCTTTACTGTGAGTCCTTAACTCTTAGATCTTTCTAAAACAATCTTTATTCTGATACCTATGCCTACATTTCTTACACCAAGCATCTGAGTCGCTCGTGTAGAAACTGCTTGCATCCATTGCGAAAGCTGGGGGATAACTTTGAGATGCTAGCTTCCGATTGGCACCGACTGTTCTCAGCGAGAATATCATTGTGTTTAAGTCTACAGGTTGATCATTGGTACTGATAGCCTTTGTATAGCGCCATGTGCTAAGCCGTTCAACTTCGATCGTCCCGAGGAGAAATATTCCGGCCGCTGTTGTTTCGTAAATTTTGAACATCGGTGAATCTGCAGTACCATTCATGGACTCAGCTGAGTTGTTGATATTTTGATATAGGGTCGTAAAAGTAGTACAATAGTCCTTAATCGTTGATGTAAATTTATAATTTAAAAATTCATATATGGCGGCTATATAGGGTACAGTTGCAGACTCATTTCATGTACATGAAACACTGTCATACAGCTCTGCGGCGGTCATTTTTTGGTAATTCTGAGGCCATATATTTTTGCTGAGTTGCTCAAGAACAATATTTTTCGGCTCGACTTCTCCAAGCTCCTATTCTGAAACAGCTTGACGATAGGGTTTCCATCTTTTGTCCCAATAGTCTATAGACTCCTGGTCTTTCTTTACTGGTTGTTCTGGTTTCATATTTGGGTAAATTTCTTCTTTATAATGATAGACATGACGAAGTACTCGCCTTTTTGCAAGTCAACCTCGCAGGCATGAATCCCATCTGCTAAAGGATTCATCATCGCCGAGAACAACAAATGTGAAGTCCTTTCCCATTGTTTGCTTATCTTTGTTAGTTCTGAAAGAGCCCCGGTACATAACCCATTGTAATTACGACGTAGGATGGACAAGAATTGTGGTAGGACAGCATATATTTATAAAGAAGAATGTGGAATGAATATTGTGATGGTGAGCGAATATATTCAGACTATCTAAAGATGAACGCAAGGTCTACATAAAAAGTAATTGCGCCTGGTTATGTATATGTCCGATTTGCTCTACAGCCATGTCCATTGATTGTCTGATGTACTCATACAATGCGTATCGACATTATTTGGCCTTTAAACCCCTGATAGTTAGCGCGACCCACATTTGAGTCATGCATGTGACGGGCTAGGACTTTCGGCCAATGCACGAAAGCAATGCCACAATTAAATGTTTATATTTTCTATGAGGAAATTACGAGCGGGAAGCTATGGCTTTTTATAACTACAATGCCTGTTCCAGATACCCTTGCCCTTTACACGTGATCTTGTAATACTCCCGTATAGTGAGAAGATTTACAAACTCGCTTGAGCCTTCAAGATAAGGAAGGGCCCTATAGCCTTAAACAGCCCAGCCAGACCCCAGCCGGGCCTAGCCCGTAACAATGCATTAACATTAGCTTGCATAAATAAATTCATGTAATATAATCACTGAGTCTTGTCTGTGAAACCCTTGCTTCCTTATGCAGACTAAGATCATAACAGGATTTCATTTGCATTATCACTATGAGGTATGTTCGCTGAAAAAAACAATCGACCCTCCTTCCTACATGCCCACCAATGTAACGTTCCAAAACATTTAATTATCCAAGCATGCAAGTGTCGCAAGATATTTATTTGTGACTTTCTGGATTCGAACTATAGATCTCCAGTATCAAGTGGTATAGGTGTCCAAGCTATCCAGATTCTAATTGGGAGATTGACCCGGATGATGTACTACAGCACCATCCGGCCATGACGGTACTATTTGTATCTTCTACGCTCTCGAAATCGAGGTCTTGGCACGCACAAAGCTCAATCTGTGAAATATCTTGGCAAAATAAATAAAAATATCCTCGCTTTTGAGATTATATCTATTTTTTCACCATCTCGTCTATTAGTCCAGGTCTCTCTCTACAGCCCTTCCCAAAACCCTATCTCCCAGATTGGCGCACCGTAATATGTCTCCTCCAGCGGGTATTCATGTTCTTGAGGGCGTGAATGTGGAGGCCATTGAAGACTAGAGACTTATTTGACAAGTGGTGTGTTTATTGAAACGAGGATATACTAGTTCGTGCGTATAGACTGGATGATGCTTGGGTTGAAAACAGTTAATCATTACCTCGCGGGCCAATTTCTTCGGGGTTCCAAAATTTGACTGAACTTTGGTCTGAGAGTATTGGTCCTCCAGTTTCGTAGAAGACAGTGCGGACAGGTGTTCAATCTTAGCCCTCCGACCCGAGCGCCTGTTGGCTGTGAGACATGGCAATGTATAGCTAAGCATTGGGAACGACGTCGATGAGAGATGATCCGGGCCCGCCAGGTGATGCAAGGCCTGTACAGTGGAGCATGATGTAGATCCTCGAGGACACGATGGGGAAATTTTGCGGATAGTGATGCGTACGGCTTAAACACAATCATAATTACAATGGGGCCACACTAACTAAACGGCGTTCATGGGAGCTAGAACCGAATCTGTGAAATGACCCTTGTGCGGGGGGAATAGGGATGACGCAAGTATCCTTGCTTCCAGCGCACCGAGGTTGTAGGGATGAGTAGCGGGATATGGCCTCGGCCGAACATGCCCGCATACGAGCAAGAGAACATTCAATACCCCTCTTACATCTTATTCGAGGTACACAAGAGAAGGACCGAGACTAAGCTTCTAAAAAAGATGGCCCCTGACAATGACATGGAGCAAATATTCTTCTAAATCTAGGATTATTCAATCTCCCCAACCCCGAAAAGGATTGCACGCGAGACAATGATTCAAGACGCCGACTACATAAATTTTGACTCCCAACATCGGTTTCGACCCAAGCCTTATGAAGCCTGCAAATATGGGCTTTAATTCATAATTACTGTGACTAGGTCTGTCGTCAACCTACTCTCTGGCCTCAGCCAGCCTCCAAATACACATCAATAAAAATTTGAATACCCGCGTTGCGACATCAATCGCAGTCTACGAATCTAGAGAGGCATTTACTAGGGACTGATGGAAGAGATTTCAGAGTACTTTGATAGAATAATGCCAAGAATAAGAACAGGTTTCGAAAGATGTGAGATTGCGATTACGGAAAGAATTTTCTCCCAGTGAAGAGATTTTTTTGCCGGATTTTATTTGCGTATGCAGCTATCTAGCTACAAGAAAACATCGGAGTTAATTTACAGGGTAGGTGACTCAATTTAAACATCGTGCACTCATGTCTTGGATTTCATATGCAAGTACCACTGCGACGTTATGGTGGCTTTTTCTTCACCCCAAGTCAACCCTCATCCATGAATACCCACCCAGGGAAACGTCTCAAAAATATCAAGTTATCCAGATATATCTCCATCATCTATTGACTTGTCTCGGCGTGAAATATGATCTGAGATGTCTCCTTCCCAAGTGGAGTAGGTGCCCAGGCTACTCAAACTATACCGGAGAACACCACCAGGAGGCGGACCACAACACCTTCCATCGTTTGCTTGTTTTTATAGTGTCAACTGCACTCTCGCAAGCGAAGTTTTGGCGCGCACAAATCTCAATTTGTGAAATCCCTTACCAAAATTCTAAACTTCACATACATCGAGATTGTATCCTTCCTTTGTGCCATCGTGTAAACTCGCCCGATTTCTTTCACGTCTAGCCCAAAGAACTTACTTCTAAACTTATGCACCACGATGTTTGTCCTCCTACGGATATTTTAATCGTTGTGGGCGTGTATGTGAAGACCAATGGATGCCAGGGACTGATTTGACGAGATTGTAGTCATTGAAACGAGGAGGTACTAGGTCGCGCTTTGGAACTGATGATGCGTTTGTGGGAATCGATCTCGTTGGGAATGAGAGATTGACTTGGTGGAGAGTCTTGAATTATTGCCTCGTGGGCCAAGTTTGGTTTTGCGAAATTGAACCCAACTTAGCACAGCGAGAGTATTTCACTCCCAGGTTCATAGTGGACACCGCGGACAAGCGATGAGTCTCTATGGTCCAGGACTTCCGACTTGTGACTACTGCAGGACAAGGGTTGCCTCTTCTGCGCAAATTAATATACTTCAGTGGTCCTTGCAAATTAAAATCAGAGTTATACTATTTAAAGGTAAAAGAGCCAGATAAAATAAACAAGTCATTGATCACTCTCATGGCTAGAGCTGATAACATAATAAAGAAATCGAAAAGGCTACCATCATCGCGTTATCTAGCCACAATCTTTACACAGTGGCTTTTAGAGCGAATCGGTTCTATCAGGACAGAACTATTACTTTCTCTGCGGCATAGTCAGTTTTCAGACGTAGACTAGGCCTTCTGTAACATAGTGAGTTAGCTGTTGGGGCTCAATGGTGCGACATCTAGAAAATGCCTTTAGTTCAGGGTGCACGTTGAGAGTGGTTGATTTCATGCATAGGATATTTAACATAAAATACCTAGTTACCCTAGACTAATGTCCCCCGCAAGTGGGAGCACAAACCAAACTGCTTTCCAAAGCTTCAGAGAGGACTGTGCGGCACGCTCATATGTTTCCCAAGCTTATCATCGTAGACCATACCTCTCTCTCGCTCCATACTCCAGATTATCTATATTTCTCGAGCTTTCACTGCCACCCAGCCAATGGCCGTCTCTTTTTCAGGCAATACATTTACATTACCCTACTTTGACAAATGGTTGATAGACGCGGACAATGATTTTTTCATTCAGGACGGTTTGGATAGAAGGCGCCCATTAATTCTATCGTTATTTTTCAAATAATCTATTTGAACCTGAGATCTGCAATACCGCCATTAATCTGGTATCCTTAGTATGGCCTATCTGCGCATCAAAAAAATTCCGAAGGGAGTAAGGTTGTCGGACTATGGAGAAGCCAGGCAAGGCTGAAGCAGCTCGGTATTGAATTAAGATACTCTATTCCTAATAATATGCAAGTGGTCAGTAGAAACCTCACACCTTGCTGGGTGAGTGTGCGGTTTCGGGTAGTAGAATAGTCGAGTCTTCGAGGTAGACCCTGACAAAGTCGATTTTGGCAATGGCTGCATCTATCTTGGCAATACTTTCCTTACTTTGCTCGTGGTTAGACACAGCTCGGAGTTCACTTATCGCTTGTATGAGCATCTGCGCCAATTGTTGATTCCGCGCGTCTGCTGTCGGCGCACCACTTTTGGAGGTAGGTCTCAAACTTGTTTCTTCAAAGGATCCCCTTACACTCTCGGAAGCTCTTCTATTTACTTGAAGTCCTTGCATATTTCTTTTGACCTCCCCAACCGCTTCGCGTACAGCTTGGTTTATTCCAAGCCGTTCCCCGTGATTTAAGAAGCCATCGAAGGCATCTTGGAATAGGCCTTCAACACCACCTTGCTGCTGCAAAAATTTTGCTGGTGAAGATAGAGGTGAAATTGTTCTCTGATGAGCATGTCTCGAAACCGATCCTCGTCCCAGGGCTCTGAGCCCTGATGTTAATTTAAAGGATTTCTCATTATACTTATTGATGATTTCCGTTCCAGCGGCTACATTGAGATTATCCCGAAGAAAAATAGCGTCGTCCACAAGCGTTTGAGGTCCATTTGGTGGTAAAGGAGGGGGATATTTCGACAATAATATCAAGGCAACAGAAGAGGTGGCGCTAACCACTGAAGAAAGATTCAGCACGGGCCTTGGGATTTTTGGGGTATTTACATTGCCATCTAATTCTCAATAGCATCGCAACGCAGACCAGATCGACGAGAGCCAATCGAGGATCTTCGGCGAAAATCAGATCCCACAAAGACAGTAGATCATTGAATGAGAACTCTCTCCCAAAGAGTAACCTAATCCAACGTCTTGTAAAAGGGGGCTCGTTAGCAAAAATGAATGGCCAAGATTCTTGAGGCTTACATTAGGAATACCTGGGGCAATACCTCGATTTCAGTGAGATGCTCTGCGAGCTGTGGATCAAGTGAAGCAAGGTACACTTCATGAATGCGCTGACTTCGTGCTATAATAGGAGTGACGCATACCTGTGCACCATTGGAGACTGAGGGCTGGTGGAAATTAGACCCACCTAGCTCGTAAAAAGATTTGGCTGATCGCATCACCATGGACAGTAGTGTGAAAGTGTCATGCTCGATATAAGAGGGGTCCAGGAATTCGCGCATCAATTTTTCATCGTGAATACAGCCTTCTAATCCTTGAGTATCTTGACTGTCAATCGCATCTTGCTCAATTACCCACAAGATAGGTGCCAAGAGTTCATGCATGCCTTGACGATATCCAACATCTTGATTGATCTTACAATAGATGAATAAAATGTCCAGGAGTTTCTGTTGAGTCTTGGCTTCGCGAAAATATTGAACTTCTGGCATGCACCTCTGGACGTCTTGAAAGATTTCCGTCCGTATTTCTTCATCGCGGCGCAGAGAATTCCATGGAGACTGGTTGTCTTAGCTGCATGCTACTATCATAAAAGTCGCGGTTTACACCCGATACTCTGTGGGTGGCCTACATTTTGATCATCGTCCAAGGGATCTGAGGCGGATGCGAGCTCGTCAGGATTCTCAATGAATCGTAAAAAGTGCTGTCTTAGGCTAGCGTAGGCGCTTCGGGATTCTGCCAAGACCTTGGGCCAGGTGAAGAAATCGTGATCCCGAAGCAGCAGAAACGTCTACGGACATGCGATTAGGCCATCAATTTTCACCGCGACTAGGTCCGTTGCTCACCTTCCACAGGACCGATCGGAGACCTAGAGTACCAAGACTGCGGCCATGTTCTATTCTCACGCTCTGCTTGAGCTTGGGCAGCTCTTCGATCTGCGCCCGAGTGATTTGCCATCGCTGCCTTTGAAAAAATGAGTAGGGTGAGCTCGGGTGAAGAAGCAGAATTCCAACCTGGCCTGCTCCAACGACCTCATTGTGCGCGTGAACCAGATTCTTGGAAAGAAAACTCTCACGCCAATTGCCTGCGAGTGGCTTGTTACAGAGTATGGTGTAACGGGACGGAGGTGATCGGTTGAGGGTGACGATGGGAATTATGCCAGACGGGCTGCATTCAAGCTTTCTGTTCGCGCACAGTCTTGTCTCGTCTTCTGGTTATGTAATCAGGTTTCGCTAGGGCTAGGACCTCAAGCGGAGGTGCGCGAAATCTTTGCGGCCTAGAAACGCGCCGCCCCGGCGCGATGGACGTTTGTTCCGTGGCTTGTCGCTAACTTGCTATCATGTTGTACTTTAGAACACGCTTTCCGCGCACCAAAAATCAGCCTGGAATCGGGGTGTCACGGCCATGCCGTTGTCAATACGCTCATGGTACAACTTCTCGTTGAATTATCAAGTTCGGCTGCGAACCTCGCGCCTTTTTAACTCTAATCAAGATACTCACAAAGACTAGTTTATTTCTAACAGTTGCATTCTGTGTTACGCCTTTTATCCCCCTATAGTCCGTTTTTCTAACACGCTATCTCGAAACGCCCCATCCCGTAAAAACTGCCCAATTTTCGGAACAGCCACTAGCCTGAGGCCGTCATCCGGCCGGCCCAACGTATTCCTCTCGTACTGATTAGGATGATTTCTGGGTGCTCACATAATTGCACAGCTCCCCATCCAGGATCGGCGGCGTCTTGTCTGTTCTTCAGCATCCTGCGCCCTCTCTTCATCAACGTGAAGGATTTGAGCTTCTCGTGCTCGCCTTCGCCTACGTCGAAGGCCCGGACCTGTATCGCCAATTTCTTCATGCGCCATAACCCAGTCACGCCACAAGCATTCCAAACGTACAGCGGCGGGAAGATCTCCCCTCAAAAGGCGTCTTGTATGTTCGTCGACAGTCATTTGCCAACCGTAGTAACACTTTAGCCCTATCATTTCTGGATAGACATCCGGTGATTGATGCGATGTCGTTTTCCAGACCTCCGAATTACGGGTCAGAATTTCGTGAACTCCAGCCCAAGTGATATTTTGACAATCGTAGACGACCATTTTAAGGCCAATAATTGGGCACATGGCCTCAGTAGGTTCTAAGATATGACGAGTGCGTACCATGGCAGCCGCCTCGGTTAGGACAAGATCTGTGATTTTTGTGTTATCCACATCGATGGATTTGAGGTTTTTACAGGCTCGAATAATGGATAGGATACCAGCATCACCTAGATCATCGCAATAGCTTAGGGATAAGTTTTCGAGCTGGGGAGCACAGGGTGCCTTGGCAAGATTCTCTGTGAGAAAGGTGTTGGTGAGACGATACAGTTCTTCGACATCAAGATGTGTAAGATTCGGCACGGTCTCGACTACTGGCGCAAGTCCACTGTCTCCAATGCGGGAGCAGCCACCGAGCTCTAGACCCTGCAGATTTGGGGTTATGTGGGCGAGCATCCGAATACTAGCATCGGTAATACGATGACAGCGGCTGATGTTTAGGTGCCGTAGTTTTCGTATGGGCACAAGAGGAAGATTAGTGAGGATATCGTATTCGGGATTCCTACCATGTATTATGGTTCTTAGAGCTTCATCCGTCAAGTCTGTGCAGCCACTTAATACAAGTCGTTCGAGCCGATTTAGCTCGAAAAAATCTTGCGCAAGCTCGAGACAGTCGAAGCCACCGATTTCTCCAGCTCGCAAATCCTTCAGTTTTCGACAACCATGTACGACAAGACGTATACCGTGGGCATCCATGCGATGGCACCATGAAATATTGAGGGTTTCGAGGGCCAGACAGGTTTGGGCTATTATATGGCAAGTTTCGTTTGTGACGGCCGTTAGGCCGGTGAGATTAAGATTGGCTAGGTTCTCATTACCTCGGATCAGCCGGTGAAGGGTTGACCGCTGGAAATTTCGACAGCCCTCTAGGGTGGCATTGATGAGATTTTGACATGCCCTTACGACGGCCTCGGCACGTTTATAGTGTTCCACTTGTACACACCCGCGTAGATTCAAATCCTTTACAAACGGTCCGGCAGCCACAAGGATCCTGGTCAGCGATTCGGCTGAGATATCCTTGTAAAATTCCGAGGCATCAAAGGATTTCCAGAGCTGGCCATCGTAGCATAATTTTCTGAATGGTTTACTGACGGCCGAGGCGCGAATTAATTCCTTTGGGCTCAGATATTCCAAGATGAAGAGGGAGATTTCGTGAGGTAGTTCGCCCCAAAAGTCAAAGTCTGACCGCCGTGGTTGAGGGAGTGATATAGGGACAGAGCAGGCCGAGTGATGGTCATTAGCCTCGGGGGGAAGAAGTTGCGAGGGGGGCGTCATAGTATCTGGGGCGGAAGATTTTGGGACGGGTGGGACAGGTTTGTTTGGTCTTGATGTTTCTGCAGCTTGATGATTAGCATGACTCTCCCGCACACGTCACCCGGCTTGGGCTTGAGCAGACATTGACGCACGATCGGCTTGAATATGCGCAAAGTTGGTTGGAATGGGTAGATTGGCCGGCGTAGAGGCGCCATGCTGACGTGGGGCGCGACGACGCGGAGCCAGTTTTAGGCAGGAAGTCGCTCCGTGGCTCTGCGAGGGGTCAGGAGTGGCATCCTTTCGTCGATAGAGCTGGCTCACTGTTTGGCGCGAGAGCATGCGATGGAAAGCGTGCCGAATACGGGCGGATCGAGATGGTTTCGTAGATGATTTGGGCGAGTCGAGAGACATTTTGGAGGTGAGGGGATAACTCTGGCAGGAGCGTGGAGATCTTCGGACTAGAACTGTCACTCCATTGTGATCGAGGACAGCGGAGGAGGAAGACGATGTGAATCAGAAAGACGAGCGTCGTAGCATGGGCCGACCTGACTATGATATGTTGGTGCAGGCTGGGCCCACGAGGAACTGCGGCGGGGCAGCAGTAGATTCCTTGCGGCGAGCAAATGCCGCGAGGGCGGGGCGCGAGACGGAACCAACCAGCCTCGGCCCCGGCCTGTGCATGATGGCACCACGTCGATGGATAGGCGCACCCGACTAAGTGCTCGAGGTCTCGCCGGGAGCACGGCAACGAGAGGGCGCGGTAGGGCAGGGGGCTGAAGCTTGGAAAAGTGGAGATGGTCTCAGCATGGCGCGGGCGCGGGCGGGGGAGAAGTCAGACTCGTTCCCCACAAACGGGCGACAGCTGGGATGGCCGGGTCTAGGCCTAAGGCAGCCTCGAAGCGTCTCCGTCAGCATCTCGGAAAATTCAGGGGCCTAGCACGGCCATGCATCGCGCCGACAGTTCACCCCTCGCTCGGGATCCCACGCGACTCACCACGACGTGCAACTAGCTTGAATCGTGGCGATAAAGACGACGCGAGAGCCATTACCATGCTGCGCCAGCTCGCCGCCTTGGACGACGCTTCTCTCGGGATTGATGGGTGAGAGGCTATGCCGGAGCAATGGGGTCGCGAGCCACGGCCAATACTGCCAGTCGGCCCCCATTCCAGTGGAATTGAGAAAGGCCTCATCAACCAACGTAACAACCAAGGCTAGGCCAGGGTGCAGCGTCGAATATGGGCAGTGGCGGCTGCAAAAGCAATAGAAGAGAAATCGATCGCCACGACCTGTGGCCTCTTGGATCGATGCCGAGTTTACCCGGTCATGGCTGGTTGGAGGGGTTGAATTTTCTCACCATCTCCCCCGCCTCTTGACTGCCAGATGCAGTGAGACGGCGAGTTCTATATCTAGTTCGACACTCCAGCACCCGTTGTCACAGGCCCTTTGCCACGCTCGTTGTGTCCTCGTGGAGTGGAGGCTGGGGTCTGCAGAGTAGGGGAGAACGGCTACCTGCTCGCGAAATCCGCCTGTCGCAACGTATAGGGCTAAGCATATTGATTAATAGATTAGAATAGGTCGGTGCGTTGGAGTTTGTCAGCTAAGCATTCCTCGTCACCCCGCTCTCCCACGCCCGATACGATGAAGCGTGATGCTGGCCGGACGGGGCATTTTGTGCGTATCCTATTCCAACGTCTCGTAGGAAACGTATAATCACTCCATCGCGGCCCGCAGAATTCGAGCCCAGTCGCACGCCTCTCGCTTTGACCTTTGGGTCACGGGAGCAACACGTCTGACTGCCGGGCAAACGACATTCGAGCGCGCCTGACAGCCAACGGCCAAAGTAGCGGGCTTAAGCTAGCGTGAACAAAGTGCTCTTGGCATGTCCTCACCATGCATATACGCAGGCCCACTCGCCGACCAGCGCTCCTTATGCAGGGCGCGTAGCATTGCACAAGTCTATCGATGACAGCCACCCTTGTATAATCTACCCACCGCTCCTTGACCCAACACCCATCTCGTTGCTCACTACTGCTACGCCATGCTTGTCCTAACTAGGGCAGGACCTCTACTGCATTAGGACAAACAACTTACACCACAATTCTGTGCACGCAGGCTTCCAGGTATGACTCCAACGTGTAACTGCTCCTTGCTATGGCCACGCACCATCATCCAGTAGAGATCTCTTGGCTCTAGCGTCTCCATTTCTCATCCTTCCTAGTTGGAGAGGGAACGTGATAGAGTACACTCAATCGTCTGGAACGGCCCTCACTTGTGCAGTTACGAGGTCTTGGTTTTCTTCGACCTCTATTAGTTTAAGGCTAGATAAGACAAGTCGCTTCTTTTGCCCAACACATCAAGGATACCTGTCTCTCGGGTAATATCCTCACAGATCTACATTCGACTAAAGACTTTAAAGGTTCATTATCTCCTAGTCATACCTCCCCTCTAGCCAACGAAACGAGAACCGTTTGCAGGTGTCTGGCAGCAGATAAGAACCTCAGAACTCACTGAATAGAAAGATTTTCAACCGAAATCAGGACTTGATCCGAAGACATTGTCATTCTTTTAAAGCTCTCCATGAGCTTAGCAAACCGGCCTTAGTAGAATTACGTGAACCCGAAAGCTTCTATCCCTTGCCATCATCCTCCTTACAACTCCCCTGATTCATACCGTAGGACAAACTGAGGGTCGTGAGAGGATACCAGAAAAAGCTTGGTGGAGAGTGACTGCCGTGAAGGAGGCTAGCTTAGCATCAAAAAGTCATTTTGGACATGGGGATTTCGAGTATCCAGGGCTATTTAGATATCTTCTTGGCTAGTGGATTCGGATGTTTGAATTTGAAGATAATATGTTGTCGATGACTCGAATTCTGCTTTTCTAGAAGGCGTGGAGGTCCCTTATTTTGATTTAGTCAACCCTCTACTTGACCGCCAGTAGTTAGCATATGTTGGGATATGACGAGGGTCTCACCAACTACCGTTGTGGCGTTTGATAGCGCAATATCCCTTCTCTTTCTTTGCGTCATTATGGTGGTCGTGATCGGCGTAGGTCCTACCCAAAACGTATTTCTGAGGGAGGAGGCGATAGCATATATCAAAATCCAAAGATTATCTGACCAGATCCTGGCTCCACAGACTACATGCCGAGAGTGACTGGATCATCGAGGACACCGCTAATAGATGTTGTGATTTAGGACTCCTAGAGGATGATGAGTTAACATGAACAGCACGTATTAAACTGATAAATTTGACATATCAGGCTAGTTCCCTACGCTCAGGAAGCCCAGCACGTGTTTGTGCCCGCAGAGAGCTCACTACTGCCACCGAAGCTGCCTTTGTTTGCTCAGGTATTTCCATGATTGAAAAACAAAAAATTAAAGAAAATTTTGCTAGCTAGAGTCTCTACCCTGCGCTTAGACAGCTTTCTCATCATAGATTGACCGAAAGATTTGTTACCCAGAAACCTTGGTCCCTCTATTCTAATCTTGCTCACCGAAACATCCCGTCATGGTTGGAAATCAACATAATTCCAAACATCCCTTCTCTCGAAAAAGTGCCCGTCCGTTCGCCACTATTTCCTGGGCAGGTTGTTGCCATCACTGTAGTACCGTCTGGTATCCCGAGAAATGAGACGAGCGTCTCTTGGCCGCGTTTGCACATACCATTGATTCCCTCGTAATGAAATACCTCAAGATATTTGGCAAGGATTCCACGACGAGCTCTAGCGACTGTCATATGAATACACGCCCATCTGAGTGGCGCCGGCTCTGATGGCCGTTTTCGATTCTTAATTACATTCGATACTGTATTTCGATTAGCTACGGCTGTGAAGTGATTGGTTGTGTAGAAGTTTGAGCTAGTCAACATAATGACTAAGCAGTATTCTTCAAGGGTATGTAGCATCATTGCTCCGTATGCAAACGGCAGAATGACTCGATAATTATCAGCCATCTACCACGACAAATTAACGACGCAATAGATACTCGCAGGGAGCAGCATAATTCATGACCCACAAAGCTTGGACTCTAACTCGTGCGGGACTGCTGCTATAGTGGGGCAATAAAACTTGAGGAAGGCGGCTGTGACATTAATTCATTTTATTTTCCTGTCTGAGTCTATGACTTTGTGGGATATGCAGGTCCTCTCTGGCTAGAGGCCAAGGATACCTGTGCCAGTAGTACATCCCCTCCTATGCCCCCCATACAGCTCCCCTCAAACAGAACCGCTCCTCACAAGTCCTCATCCGATCATACACTTAGAGGAGCCCTTAGCCCTTCATTATCTTACCTCTCGAGCCAATGAAACGATGGCCACTTGCGGGTGTATGGCAGCCGGGAAATGTCGCAAGAACCACTAGGTGCGGTGCTCTTCTAATACCAACATTAGGACTAAATCCGAAGACATAGTGACCCTTCCAAAGCTTTGGGAGAGATCGGTCAACTGGGCGCTGCAGACTTGTGTGTACCTCGGGAAATTTACCCTCTGCCTTTCTAGCCTCCTTCCAACTCCTTCCCGAAGGTCGTGCTGAAATGCCAGAAAACTCTTGACAGAGCGTGATTGCTGTATAGTAGCTTAGCCCAACTTCTTTTGTACCGTCCAGGGCGCTGAGGAGTGCCGTTGACTCATCGACAATAGAAGCCCTCCTGGCGAATTAGCCGAAATCTCGGTCTTGGCGCCCACAAAAAATCCAAAGTTGAAAACTCCTCGAAAATGTCAGTCCCAGCATGGTCTTCAGAGACCTGTTCCATCTCTCGTTCCACATCTCAGCCGCCTGTCCTTCCTCAAGATGTACAACCTCATTGGAGCACAAGTCCCCCATAAACCAAGACCCCAACTTTGTATATAGATATATATATTTTTTTTTAATTCATTTTACCTGATTTGGCGCCTCGAGGCCCATGTAGGTTTTTATCGGAAGATATGCACTTTAATTAGGATGACTCAATTTGACGATTAGAACACTCACACTCAGATTTCATTTGCAGATACCACTCGAGGTTAACCCTTACGGCGTAGAACCTCTCCCGTGCATACCCACTACAGGGAAAAGCGTGAAAAACCTGTGGCTATCCGAGAGTGTGTGTGTGTTTTGTTTGTTTGTAATTTTAAGGTCCTAAGCTACTGCTCCCGGTCCGCTATGGGTACAAGACCGGTGGAGCCGGAAGGGATCCCTGTGTTCTTTACCACAGCCCAACTCATTCCAACCGCGTGAAACCACTACCTAAATTGTAGCCGGTTTAAAACAAAAACAAATTCTAACAGTCAAAATTAATAAACAAAGGAAATTCCAATATAACGGTCCAGTATCAGCGCTCCTCACCCTGACTCCTTCCCTTTCACGGTTTCCACCATAAATATTATTCTTCGTCCATGCTGAGAGCTGTGGACAAGGTCGCAGGTTGGCTTTTGAAG